GCTTTAGACGACTAAATTTGAAATAAAAACAGGAAAAAAGAAGAACTAATAAACATAAATAGGCGAAGACCATTGTCGCCAAAATCTTTAGCACTTTTCACTATTAGTATCACAGTGGTTTTATCCTTTGCTGTAGAACTGAAGTTACCTCAAATTCTACACTATCCAATAAAATTGTTGCTGAAGAATAACATGTATAAACATCGACAACTTCTAAGAGATAATACAATTTACAACTGTTAATGACATTGTTTTTTTCTTCCATCAATAAACTGTCATTAAGGCGACCAATAAAACTGCAAATTTTAGTTGTAGTTTTTTAGGCCATAATATCGGTAGAGTAAATAAACAGCGAAAGAAATAAAACAGATCTACAAAAATTTTCAAATAAAATTTCTTTGATACATTGCTAATTATCAAACTTATTACACGGTAATAAAGTTTTCATACACTATATATCAACAAGTAAATTTATAATCATTTATTTTGTATAAAAGTTTTTTTTTCTTATCATTACTAAAAAGTGGCATTGGTTCAGAAAGAAGTCTAATTAGAAGTAATATTAACCGCTATTTTCAATTCTTTTTCATTCTTTATTTGAAAAAAGCTAATCAAAGTTATTCATTTTCACAACAGTTTGTTGCGATTTATAAAAGCCATAATAAGGCACGATACTTTAGAAAAAAAGCTAATAAAACGAAGAAAAATCTGAGATAGCATTTGAAGTAAATATTATATGTGACAAATACAAAGAAAAAAATATTAGCTTTTCAGTTTTTACATCTGCAAAATATGCTCATCCTAATAAAAAAAATAGACTCCTCAAGTTTCCAAAATCATTGCAGTTTGTCATTCTAGACGACAGTCTTAAGCACCCAAGTCTCAGATGTCTGTCGATTTGTTCACTTCTGTCCTCCCACCACCCTGACTCGTCCTTCTTCCTCTTCCATCGTGTCATCATCCACTGTTTTGTTAGCGTAAGCCAACGAAACCAAAAGACCGGTGAACAGATAATGCAGTTCCCCCTGTGAAACCCAGTCGTCAATTGTCCGAAAACCGCTACACTTCAGAAACCAAAATTGACGAGAACAAAGCCTCGAACAGTTTGAATAATCAAAGATTTGCATAAATAAACGAATATTTGTGACCATAAAACGAAATATGGCGTACATAAGACAAATGTTACAACCAACAACCAACAAAACAGCTAACAGATTACCCAGTTACGAAAATCATTTACTGCAAGTTAATATCAGTTATCTTTTCTAAACTTCTACAACGGTAAATATGATGCCAAACAATGAAGAAGAAGTCAAACCAAGGATTAAGAAAGATAGAAAAGTAAAAATTAATTTTGTTTACCTCATCCAAGTAAATAATCAAAAATAAAACAAAAAATGTAAGAACCAGTTTTGATCAACGGTTAAACACCAAAAATCTTGTCAAGCGCTATTGTAAATGACTTTGATGATGCATTAAATGTGTACTGTTAAAGCATATCAGTTGACATTGAAAATAACTAATGTAAGGCAAAAAATCATTGAATTTAGCAATTTAATATAACACCGGGAAGGACAGAGGAAACGGCTCATACGTATTCCCAACGCACAGACGCCGACAACAACATAAAAAGCATTAGCAATACAATAATTTTCATTGTATTATGAGCAAAAAAATGGACAATTTATTTTAGCTGGCCCGATAAATATTGGCTAAAAACAGTTTTGGTTAGTACAGGTGAACGACGCTATGAAGATGTAAAAATAGAAAAACAAGTAAAGCAGAAAGGTTATGAGTGATGAAGCTGAACTGTTGTAGTCGATGATTGCGGGGTGACGACGGTGGAGGTAGTGGTGGAAAGAAAGGGCCACGGTGATCGTTGTCCCACTAACCAAACTGTTGTTCGCTGAATGTGTCTGTTTGTCTGTGTATCAGACATCTGTTTGTGCCGTCCGTATGTCGTTTTCAGTCGGATTTTTTTTTTTTTTAGACTGTTGTTAGCACACCGAGTTTTTAGCTGCTTATTTTTAATCATGTCCTGTCAAGCAAGTCATCTTAACCAAACTTTATTGTCAACTTTACTCGGCCATTTCCCGTTTTCATCTTTTTTTGTCTATTCTATTAAATTGTATTAAATCTTTTTTTTTTTGTTTTTCTTTTTCAAGGTAATTATTATGCTTATATTTGTCACTTACTTCAACTATCAAATGTATATTACGCAGGAGGAGAAAAAAAAGAAGGCAATAAACGAAGAGATAACAATACATAAAAACCTTTTATTCATGCAACCTATACTGTCAGTTGTTCTCAGCAAATAACAAGATTTTGTGGCTTAAGCTTATATATATTCTGTTCAACTTAAAGCTGCAATAAGTGTAAAAGAAAAAGTTAGAATAAAAAATGGGAAAAAAATGTATAAGAAAGCTGTCTGTATATAGCAGGAAAAAATTTTTTTTTCACTCTAAAAACTGGTCAAGCAATTGCGCTCAAAAATAATGCTATCGATTTTAGTATTGAATTTGATTCTTAAAAAAAAAGCATGTGAAATCTAGAAATCACTAGTTTATAAGCGGTAAATATCTTTTACAAAAAAATAAAAATTTTCGATTTTTTATTATTTTTTTTTTTAAATCAATCTTTAAAGGATTACACAGAAAAAAAAATGAACAAATAGACAATATTTTTTTTTTTTAAACTTTGATAATGCACAGATTGAACGCTGTTGTTAACTAATTAGCTAAACATTATAAAATAAGTAAATTATCTACGGAATTCAAACAGTTGAAAACTGATTATTTTTTTCTTTTTTCAGTTTAATTTATTTAGTCTTTCACTTGAATAATTTGCCGATTATTTAGTAGAGAAAAAAAATCAAATTCTTACTGTTTTACAGAACTATTGTTTGCGCAATTTTTTTCTCACCGCATGACTAATGAATGTATAACGGTCTTAAGTATTTGATTAACAAAAAATAACACATCTTAGATAGTCGTTACAGCAAAACTGATCCAAAATTCAAATAACGGTTTCTTTTTTTGGTCGACATTTACCACCGTTTTTAATTGTCTTCATTCTCTGTTTGTTCCGCTAATAATTAATCGAGTTCATTCTTAAAAATCAATGGTTACTTATTTGTCAACAGTGCTATACACATAACACCTATTTTAACACTAAAATGTCAGATTTTCAAGAAAAATTTTTGCTCAATTGATGAAACTGTATTGTCGACAACGACAGTCATTGCTGGTAGCAGCTTTATGATCCAACCAGAGAAAATACACAACTAATCCTTTGTTAAATATATTAGCATCAAAAGACAAAAAAATAACATTTGTTCAAGTACCAAAAATCTTTTTTATATCGTAAATCAAGCATAAATTACCAATGCTAAAATTGTGCTTCTTACATTATTGTCATACATAAAAGCAAAGTAGTTAAATAACAAAAAGAGTGTAAGAAAAAGATGATTTTAGCTTAAACATTTCAAAATAAATTTTAAGCAACGGTTAGTTGAGTATAGTTCATAAAAAATAAAAAAAAATTTGCTTTTTAGCAGATATGTATTTGCAGAAAAAGAAAAAAAGAAAGAAGAAATGAAGAAAACCACTTTCAAGACTGAAAACTGATACCTGAAAGTGGTACCTTTTGAATGATACTTGCGCATCAGATTTGTCATCCCGACAACTAACTGAACTTTATCGTACTATGTAATTTAAGTGTCTCAAATGAATACTTTTCCTTCACTCACACACAGAGACCCAGTTTTATTAAAAATTCAAAAACATAAACAAGTCGATAACTTGGAATACACGTTGAAATTTTGATAATGTACAAGTATTTCTAAAAGCAGTTAATTCTGTTCATGGCTTAACCAGTTGTCAGTACTATAGAATTGATTCACAATTTTCTATAGCCTACTGAATCAAATAATTTAAGACATTGTTCAATGAAAGCCATAATGAAGTTCAGCCAATGAATGCAACAAAACACTAAACAATGGTAATACCTCAGTTCTATATTTATTTCTCCTTTTTTCGTTGTTTTTTCTTCTTTAATCTGTTTCTTTTTTAGTTTTAATTTTGGCCAGTTTAAGAATAGTTAAAGATAGGAAAAGGTGCAGCAAAATTATAATCGATAACCTCCAACTGTCTCTCAGTATACCTTTTTATTAGCTTATTCAAGAATCAAAAGAATCCAGTTAGTTTCCATGTTCACTAGCGGTTACGCAAAGTAAAAATGACAACTATAGCTTCAGGATCAGTGTTGAATAACTGGAATAAAACTTCCTGAGTCACTGAAACCTCTATCATTTGCTGACTTATTCACTGTGTTTATTTGCCACTTAATCTTTTGGTTTTACCAGCGTTGCCGTCAATTATTCATCGCAATTATGTTTGTTTTTGTTTCCCGTTTTTTTCCTCTCTTTTTGCCAATTACTATAAACTGGAAATACTGCAAAAGAATTTGTGTGAACTGTATGCTGCAACAAAACGACTAAAGTTATATCACAGTTTACTCTCCAATTAAGATGACAAACAAAAGAATATAAGGAGAAAAAAAAGGAAGTATTTTCTTTCTTTCAATTCAAAAAAACCTCAAAAATTGTTTTGTAATAAATGTCAACTATCTGCAATATTACACAACTGTGGGCATATCACCGGTGAAAGTTTAGAGAATAATTGCCCAAATTTTACCGTCAATTTTTGTTATGTTTTTTACAAATATGAACAATTTTGTGGGGGAAGAAAACATTCACTGTTATTTGTTAGCCTTTAGCCGTACCATTCATAATATCACCGAAATATGATTTTAAAAAGTTTTTGCTACTTTTGTTTCTTGCAATTCTTAGCAATTCGGTTACAATAGTCTGGCAAAGAAAAAAATGAGTAATAATAATGATTGAAGGTTTAAGACAAAAAAAAGTGGAACAGTGAGCCATCGAAAAAAAAATAAAAATGAAAAACGACTATAAAGTCTGTGTACTACCAACCAGCAAAAATAACTGTCTGTATAAGTAGTAGTTTTTAGATTTTAGTTCTCCATAGCCATCAACGAAATTTAAGCCCCGATAGCAGATGGAGGTAGATTTGTTGTCCCCAGTTTCAAACTGATACCTTTACGGTAGAAATGAAAAGAAAAAAGAAACAAGAAGGCGTAAAGTAGCTAACTGCGCTTCCGATAGGTTCTGCAGTTAACTTTCCACCATCACTTTTCTCCCTTTTCTTTCTTGCTTTTTTATTTTAAAAACCACAGATTTTACAGTCGCTTATTAAAACGGAAATATTAACAGAAAATATAGGGTATAAATTGAAAGGCACTTAGAACACAATTATATATTAATCTTTAAATTAATAAAAAAATAAAAAAAATAATACTATGCATTAAAAATTTATACTGTTCTTTATAAGAGTAAATACAAAACGAAAAAAATAAAGAAACGAACGAACAAACGAAAAAGTTGAAAACAAGTAACTTTTGTGTAATAATATTTTCAGTCTCTGAGTTAGTTCCATTTCTGTGATAATTTAAAGTGAGAATCAAACAAGGATAAAGCTATAAATGAAAAAAAAACAGAACCAAGAAAAAAAAATTTAATGGAAGAGTTTTTACAAAACTAGTCAAGTCGCACGTGATAAAATAAAACAAACGCAGAAACCAAAAATATAGCCACAGATGTAGCCGTTGGTATACCATGAAATTCGGCAGCATCTGGAGTAACATCACTGTCTATTTGACTCTCCGTTACACCTTTTTCTTCCTCTGGTTCTTCATCAGTATCGGTTCTCGGTGTATAATCAATTTCTTGATGGTCTAATACTTCTAAAAAAAAGATTGAACGACTGGAAAAGCATAAAATCTATCGAGATACAACTAAAATTTTTTCAGTTTTTTTACCTACGATACACTTTTAATATAAACTGTTCAGTGACCTTTTATTATTATATGAATTTAAATTTTTGTTTTGCTTACCTATAGCTTCCTCAGTAGGTTTGGTTGGTGTTTGTTCATAATGTTCATCAGTACTACCAAACTGTGTACTTATACCACCATTCTCATAGTAGCGATCTCTATCCGTTGAGATCTGATCGAAACTTCCTGTGCTCATAATTGTAGGGTCTACATTTTCAGTTGGTCTATCACCAACTCCACCGCGGAAGTCTCGGTCTTCATATCTTTCGTTTGCAATTCCGCATGTATGACCGCTGTATCCATCGTAACATTTGCACATACCGCATTCACATGTTCCGTGACCACTGCATTCCAGCTGCAAAAACACCCCTGCTATTTACATTTTTACAATTCTTCACTTAGTTTATGCCAATCCCTTTTTTTTTCGTTTTTTGATTTACATTGGATGTTTTTTTCCACTATATATTTTGTATGTGTCGAGAGACTGTTCTATGCGATATGATAAAACCGGACAAGCACTATACTTCCTTTCCACTCCCCCTACAATCCCAACATATATTGATAACAGAAATCCTCTAAAGAATCTTAAAAAAATTGTTGTAATAAACTTAGACAATCCAATTTCCTTTTCTGCTGCCCTCATACAACACCAACTTAGTAAACTGCTAATGAGTGCACTAATATGTTAAGGTGATTATTGTTTACTATTCTTAGACCAGTTGATACAAGACTACTTTTTTTGCTACAGTCAATGTTGTGCCGACAGATGCAAACCATAACAAGTCCAGATAAATAAATACAAGTCAACCGTTAGCCATTATAGATCTGTTTTTTCCTCCACCTACAATTGTAGAACACTGTCTTTTTTTTCTTGTAAAACTTTTCAGTAGGTCGTGAAAAAAATTTGCTGTTACTTACATTACCCTCCATACAAGTTCGTTTGTCTAAGCTGCATGAGCAGTCTTCACCGCCAAATCCCGTCTCGCAGTCACATCTACCACAGTTACACCGTCCTCGGCCGCCACAAATCTTGTCATCGACCATCGGGCAGGCTAGCGAATCACACTCACAGAATTCACCTTGTATCTACAAATTAGACAAGTTACGAGAGCAAGAATGACCTTTCTTCTTGCCTGTTAGGAAGAACAAGAGAGAAAGAGAAAAAAACGAGATGATAATCAAAAAAGTTTTCACTTTACTTTATTCCTCTGACGCCAATACTCATCATGCATCAAACTGACTAACGGCTCGTTTAAAGTTAATATAAATGTTTCATTTTTAAATCACTTAGAAACATTACTCAAAAGATTAAATCAAAAACTGATGCTTGAAAAAAAGAAATATTTTCATGTTTTTGAGAGCTTTTCCAAAAGTTATTCTGAAACTGATTTGCTGGTACTGTTTCCGTACCTTTCAGATAGATCTATTGTCATAATAAACTACTGCAATAGACAATATTCTAGAATTTTCCAACGCTTCACATATACCTTTTTGAAAGACATAAATTATTAAGCTGGCTCAAAATTCTGTTGTTTTTTCCCCGCAATTTATTTACCGTTTGTTGTTGTAGCCTATGTTGTTATAGTTGATTTCATTTTTTTTTTTTGAAATTTAAATTATAAATAAAATCTAACGTGCTCTCTTTCGCATTTACACCTTCCGCATTCACAGATACCATTGCCGCTACAAACTTCGCTGTTCGGACCTCTAAACAAAACAATGAAGAAATTTTTTTTGCATTGCCTCTTGACATCAACATTCGGGACAGGACAGTTAATCGAACTGAGAAGTGACCAATGCTTTATTGGTTAAGCAAAAAGAAATTCATTATTAAACCGATCGTAAAGTTTACCAACAATAAACCTAAGATATAAGTAGCTGCTAAATAAATTCTAACTGCTACATTGTTGTTTTTCCACTAAAGCCATTGTTTGCTCAAAAAAAAAAAA